GTGCCCATCTTCCTCCACTTTATATGGGATGCCACCACAGCATGGCTTGCTAAGCAGTGCGTCGGTGCATGCCCGGGACCCAAACGGGTGAATTCCAGGCCACCACAGCGGAGCGCGCGCACCCAACCGCTTGCGCCACAAGGCCGGCCCCTGAAAAAAATACTCTTAATGAAAGAAGAGATAGGGACTTTCCACAGAGGAATAGAAAGTACAAAAAGAACCAAATGCAAATCCTAGAAAAACGACCATCAACCCAGAATTCCACATCCAACAAAAACATCTTTCAAAAACAAGAATTAAAATAAAGACATTTTTCAGATAAATAAGCTAGGATAATTTTTCACCAGTGACTTGTACTTTAAGTAATGCTAAAGGACATTCTTTCAGATGAAGGGAAACTCAGATCTACAGAAAGGAATGAAGATCTCCAAAAACGGTAAATATATGGTAAATAAATATAAAATACTATGCTTTTATTTCTTCTAACTTCCTTAAAAGACAACTGATTGTTAAAAGCAAAAATAACAACAGTATAAGTAGAACACAACATCAATAGAAGTAAAAGATATAAAAATAGCACAAAGGAAGGGATAAATGGAATTAATCTGTTGTTAGGTTATTACATTTATGAACTGCTAATTGAGAAGTAGGAAGTGGGAAGTGAGTGGTGGTGTCAGGTGACAAACTGGAAGTCTAAAGGTGTTAAGTGAGAGGCAGGAAATGAGAAATGTGAATTGTGAAGTATAAAGTGATACAATATTAAAGCAGACTCTGACAAGTTAAAGTAAACATTGATACTTTAAGGATGCATACTGCTAGCTATAAAAATATTATACAGAGGCATAGCTAAAAAGCCAATAAAGGAATACTAAAAACTCAATAACCCAAAACATGATAGAAAAGGATCAAGAGAAGAATAAAAACCAGAAAGATCAAATGGAAAAAAAAGACAATATGGTAGATTAACATCCAACCATATTAATAATTACATTAAATGTAAAGGGACTAAATACTTGAATTATACAGTAGAGATTGTTAGATTTAAAAAATCTAACATATGCTGTCTAGAAGAGAGATTTTATATATAAAGACACAGATAGTTTGGAAATAAAATGGTGGGAAAAAGACATTCTATGCGGGGGCCGGCCCAGTGGTGCAGGTGCAGCGGTTAAGTGTGCGCACTCCACTTTGGCGGCCTGGGGTTCGCAGGTTTGGATCCCCGCAAGCACCAACGCACTACTCATCAAGCCATGGTGTGGCAGCGTCCCATATAAAGTAGAGGAAGATGGGCACAGATGTTAGCCCAGGGCCAATCTTCTTCAGCGGAAAAAAAAAAAAAGGGGGGGGGGATTGGCAACAGATGTTAGCTCAGGGCTGATCTTCCTCACAAAAAAAAAAAAGACATTCTATGCAAACAGCAAGCACATGACAGCTGGTATGGCTATATTCGTATCTGACCCAGCGATTTCAGGACAAAGAGAAGAAAAGGAACACTTCATTATGATAAATGGGTCAAACACAAAACAACCCTAAATCTATATGCACCTAATATCAGCTCTAAAGGGACAAATGCTCAATCGCAGCTGGAGATTTTAACAGCCTTCTTTCAGTAAATAATAGAACAAGTAAGCAAAAAAAAAAAATCAGTATAGGATATAGAAGGATATACAAAATCTGAACAACACTATCAACCAACTTGATTTAACTGACATTTAGACTCAACAGGGGCCGGCCCCGTGGCTTAGCGGTTAAGTGCGCGTGCTCTGCTGCTGGCGGCCCGGGTTCGGATCCCGGGCATGCACTGACACACCACTTCTCCGGCCATGCTGAGGCCGCGTCCCACATACAGCAACTAGAAGAATGTGCAACTGCGACATACAACTATCTACTCGGGTTTTTGGGGGAAAAAAATAAATAAAATATTTAAAAAAAAAAAAAAAAAGACTCAACAATGCAGAATACACACTCATTTCAAGGGCATATGAAACATTCACCAAAACAGACGACATGCATAATTAAGTTTCAAAAGACTGGAATCTTAAAGTATATATTCTCTGACCACAGTGCAATTAAATTAGAAATCAATAAGATATCTAGAAAATGCCAATATACAGAAATTATTAAATAATACTCTTAAAATAACCTATGCTCAAAAAAAAAACCACAAAGGAAATTAAAATATATTTTCATATTGAACGATAATGAAAATACAACATATCAAAATTGTATGAAACCACTAAAGCACTACTTAGAGGGAAATGTATAGTTTTAAATAAATATATTTAAAAATTGAATAAATATACAAGTATCCTTCATTATCTATATCTATTTGGCTTCTGAGTTTCAAATAACAAGTAGCAAGATTTCAGATAGCAAGAGACTGATGGGTAGACTTATTCAAATTTATTTGGCTCCTGAATTAAGACAGCAGTTTAGATAACATTTAGGGAAAATGACATTTAGGAAAAACTATAAATCTTATAAAATATTTAAATCTGATTTTAGTAATTATACTCTCATATAACAGCAAGAAAAATGTCTCAATTTTTCAAAATTAAATTACTTATAGAGGGTTTATGGGTTTATATCCCAATGACTTAATGAGAATCTGCTCCTGTTACAAAAAAAATTCAAGTTATCCCAAACGTATAGTTGTTATACTTATTAAAGCTATAACAAATTAGAATGAATTTAAAATGTACATCTAGGTAAGTATACCTACCATACATACATATATGAGTAACTGTTGTGCACCCACTATTGACAAAGACTCTCTCCTTAATCAAACTTTAGTCAAGTTCCTGAGTCCTCTTTTTTGACTAGACCTGGCCCTTGGGCTCTGTCCTTGGCCGTTTTAGTCTAGTTTTAGCAAGAATCTTGTTGGGTCCAGTTTAGAGAAAATCCCCCACCTTTGATATCTGATCAAATTCTACATCCCCCAACCTTGGTATCTGAGTACCCTGATATCTGATCAAATTCCTATCACGCTGGCCTGCCTTCAGGAAAACTCATGTCAAGTCGGTTTAGACTGAATCCTCCTTTACCTCAGACGTTTCCTCTTAGTAATTTTCCATCCACTGACCCCTACCCTGCTCCTTGGCTATAATTCTGCACTTCCTCTTGGCTGTATTCACAGTATAGCCCAATTTCTCTCTGCTACTGCAAAACCCCCTTGTAGTAGACCCCCTAAAAAGAGTCTGCCTTACACCTAACGAGTGTCTGAGTAATTTTTTCTTTAACACTATGTATCAGCTCCATATTAGGCCCCGTTCATGTCATTTCTAATCCTCGCTATCCCCCTGCAAGGTAAATATTAAAGTTTACAGATCAGGAACCTCTGAGGCTCACAAGTGCCGTCCAAATTCAAACCCAGGAAGCTCTAACGCCCGTGCTTTGGGGAGGAGAGCTGTCAACGTTTAGAAATTTGTGAGGGCGGCTGGAGGGGGAGGGAGGGGCTCCTGGCATTTAGCGCCCCAGAGGCCAGAGCTGCTCAAGCCCTGCAGGCGGTGGGCAGTGGTCCCCACCCAGGTATTCTCCACCCTCCGCCCCAACGCCGACAGCACCCTGGAGAGAGAGACTCTGGCATCAGCCCATCCCAGTTCCCTCTTCCCAGTCTCCAGTTTCCAGTCGTCGTGGAGAAGGCAGGGGGGACGTGCCCGTTTTCGGTCCCAGTCCAGAGACGTGGCCGGAGAGTCCGGCGGGGCCCACAGGCTCAGGGACGCAGAGCCGGGTCCCCACGACCCCAGAGTCCACTCACAGCCCCGCCGCCCCTCCCCCGCACTCGCCGCCGCTCCCAGGGGCCCGGCCGAGTCCGGCGCGGACGCGGGAGGCGCCAG